TCTGGAACAAAGACTAAAGTCCAGAATTGGGTGAACAACCAGAACTTTCTGCCGAAGGTTACAGCCAGTGAATGTTAAGAAGAAGTAGATAAATATGCAAATGACATATGTCAGAAATAAAATTATATCCAAGACTGGGCCAATTTATTTTTAAATAAACACATGCTTTAAGTAGGGGGAAAAAATTTAAACTTTCTAAAACAAAACTATGTTGTATTATTTCAGTCAATGTAACCTTTGTAGACACAGCTGTTTTCAGAGACCTACAGTGCAATATGTGATGCAGACATACATATAAGCGACTACACTACCGCAGGCCCCAAGACAGCAGATGAATATATGACAATTGCATTTGTCAAAAAGGAAAACATAATAGCCAAGACTTGGTAAATTAATTTTTTAACAAAAACATGCTTTAAGTAGGGGAAAAAATCACAACTTTCTAAAACTAAACTATGTTGTATTATTTCAGTTAATGTAACAATCGTAGACAGCTGTTTTCAGAGACCTACAGTGCAATACGTGATGCAGACATACATATAACTACAATGCATTAATGATAGCAAGATCCGACAATCACGGACAATGGGAAATGGTGAAATAAACAGGGCAGGTCCTTATTATGTCCAACTAAGAAGACAACCAACCCCATTCATTGAAACATTTTCCATGGAGTTACAGAGGCCACGTTCTTAGTGAGTACTACATTGTCTATTAATGAAAAAAAGTACCTCATGACTGTCAGTGTCCGACATCAACTACCCGATCCAGAAAGGAAAGCAACAGTATATTAAATCATGGGGCAGGAATATCTCCTTCTCCCTACATTCTCACATAACAACATCAATGTAATAATAAACACAGTTATACCTCTTCTTTTTTTTTTTTATTTATTCTTCTTCTTCTTTCTTCTTCTTCTTCTTCTTCGTGTTCTTCTTCGTCTTCTTTTTTCTTCTTCTTCATCTTTATTCTTCTTCTTCTTTATTCATCTTCTTCTTTATTCATCTTCTTCTTCCTTCCTCTTCTTCTTCTTCCTAGTGTACACCAGTTATAAATTCAAGTGGAAAGTTCTGGTTGTTCGTCCGCTTCTGGACTTTGGTCTTGTTCCAGAACTTGAGTTTTTACAGATCTGGCTTATCTGAATGTGGACCGTTGGTTCCTTGCCACTCAGCCATGAAGGAAACCCTTAATTAGTTGACACTTATGACATGCTTGTTAAGAAGATAGCTGGTCTACCCCTGCCCCCTGGAGGGGGGGGGGGGGGGAGCCATGAAACCGACACAGGGAGGATTGGAATCCAAATCACAGCATCTCAATGAACTGAATTCACTGAAGACAGTCTGCTTGTCCCAGACAAACACCCAGATACAAGAAGAATTAAACACACTTGACGGGGAGGTCCTATCAGTTAGGTCCATAAAATGGTAGGACAGGGACCCAGATAATCAGAATAAATGGAAAAATCTCCGGATGTGGGTTCCAGGGCTCTGTTTTAGAGGTAGTTGGTGGGGGGTGGGGGGTTGGGTGGGGTGGGGGGGGGGGTAGTATATACCTCCTGCCCCTTAACAAGAATGTTATACAAGGAAAATAATTAGTTGACTAATTATAATTAGTATTATTAGTAGACTAATTATAATTAGGGTTTTGCTAAAACCTTATGTCTTAGGCCAAAAGGCACAGATATTGCTGCCTAGCTGTAAACTACAACATGTCAAACACCCCCCTCGCCCCTTTAAGGGTGGAGACAGAAGAAGAAATGAGTAATAAATGATGCAGTCATTGTCGATAAAACTACTTTTAGATGTGCACCAACAGCACACTGATGCCTCAACGGCACTCTGATGCACCAACAGCACATTGATGCACCAAATGCACACTGGTGCACCAAAGGCAAACTGGTGCACCAAGGTCACATTGATGCACCAACGGCACATTGATGCACCAAAGGCACACTGAGCCACAAAATATAGACAAAAATATGAGGCCACAAACCATCATCATGTGAGTAAAGTCAAATAAAGGACCTTTTTCCATGCATTCAGGTATATTGGGCACATAGGGCTAGACGTCTATTTTATAGCCAGACAATCAGTACATGGTAGGTGATGTGGTCAACATCATCCCGGCCACCTTTACTTCCCAGGAGTGGACATAGTACCCACTGAAGGCTGGGTCAACCTGGGAGCCAATGTCATTTCTGGAAAAAGCCTGGTTCCGTCAGAGCCTGAATCCACAACCTTCCGATCCTCAGGTGAGCGCCTAGCGCCAACACCACGGCAACTCCCTTATCATCATGTTCTGTGCCAGTAAGCCTAGGCTGTTATGTTTCACAATCTCACTTGATCACCAGAATAACAAATCAGGTCAATGTTCTTGCTCACTCCAATCCATATGGTCAAACCGTCCAGGTATTGATCTCTCTGCCTTCCTCTTTCCACTAATCTTGCCCGCCATTACCAAGTTTTTGAGTCGATTATTTCTCATAACATGTCCAAAACACATAGACTGTCCACATCTCCCTGTTCTAAGTTTAGGACTTTTATCTGTCTCGAATAGGACTGCTTCAATTGTTTTTATATCTTCTTTCCTTTTCTGCCTTTCTAACCCCAATGGAGCAAAGGTGTTAAACCAACTCACGCTAAGTTGTTTTTCTATAACTTCATGATTCTGTTTGTGCCCTTTTCTTAGAAATCTCCTGCTGCGAGTAAAAATTGTTCAGCGTTTATGCTTACTGTTTATGTCCCTCATGCTTAATATAATGACACAGGTGGAGATCATACAGAGACATAAAGCAGTCTCTTCTTCTTCTTCTTCTTCTTCTTCTTTTTCTTCTTCTTCTATTACTTCTTCTTCTTATTCTTTTTTATGTTTATCAGCAATAAACTCCAGCAAGAAAATCCTGGTTCATCCTCTTCTGAACTTTGTTCTTGTTCCAGGACTCGAGTTTTGCATTCAGTTTGTTTTATAGCTCTGGCTTATTTGTGTGCAGACTGTTGGTTCCTCGCCTCTCAGGCAGATGCACTTTCACTTCAAAGAATTTAAAGTTAGTTTAGGTATGTATTCTTCACAGGATGTTGCAGAATCAGCCCCAGTATTTGCTGGCTGGTTGTAGGTTTGCCAGGCAGTTTTACATTTAGAAGTCTGCCATATCTTGTTAACGGTCACATTTCATACCACTGTTGAATTTAATGCAAAGTAGAAACACAAAAATAATAATATAAATGGTATTTTATCTAGCAGAAAAGACAGCAAATTAAGGGTTTGCTGAAATCAGATGTGATGGGCCAAACTGGCGCAATATCACAGCCTGTCTGTAAACCACAATACAATGTGCCAGCCACACTGTAAAGGT